TTTTTTGAGACCTTTCTAATGGATAAAGTTGGAAACTTTATCCAATATGGAGCTATCAAAACCCATAAAAATGTGATCTTGGCCCTTCTATCTCTTCCATACAAGAGTTGTGTTGTCTTATTGGTTTAGAACTTAGGATTTTGGATATTAAGCACTTTATAGACATGTAAGGTCATAAAGTTGGAAACTTGATGACTTAAGACATCATTTTGGGCTTGGAGCTAAGTTTTGAACGTAAGGGCTTAATGGAATAAGCTCTTAATGGATTTTTTGGACTGAGTTGCATATGTTGGGCTTAGGTAGTACGCTATACGTACGCGATCAGCACCCCACTTTTGGTCAACAACAGAGTACACTGGGTGTACTCCGCTAAGAAGAAATATTGACTTTTGGACCTTGATCGTTGACTTTGACTTTGACTAGGTTTGACCAAGTTTGACTTAAGGGCATTTTGGGTAATTTGATTTATAGTTTGAGATTTGGGCCCCTGTTAATTGTATAAGTGACTGGTAGAGATAGCTTTTAGAGTAGTGATCGGTGCAACTATTCTTTTAGACAGTGAGGTGAGTTTTCTCACTATATCTATGGGTCGAGGGCACCAACGCCGACCCATTACTTGTTATGTGGAATGCTAATTGTCTCTGTGATGCTTGCATGAAAGACCAGTATCTGGCCCCTGACATTTGCATGAAAGACCAGGATCTGGCCCCTAGCGCTTGCATGAAAGACCAATATTTGGCCCCTGGTAATTGTATGAAAGACTAGGATATGGCCTGTGACACTTGTATGTAAGATAGAGATTTGGCCTCAACATTACAAGGAAATACCATCAACTTTATTTTGCAGAATTTTGCTACAAAAAGTCTGAAAATAAAACACATAGTAGCTAAAGAATCTCACGAAACCAATGTATCATTTATTAATGTTGTAAAACTCATCGATTTGGCATATTACTTGGTCAAGTATGCCCTATTTGGCCCCTTACCGAGTGAGTTATAGAATCTGCATAATCTCCGATCGACCCTTTACTGAAAGAGCAGTGTTGTAAAACTCGGCCAACTCGGTGATTAATATGAATAATATACTTAATGATTTATTATTTAATACACTAATAATTTATTTTTTTAATTAGAAAAATGTAGTTCAATGCATATCGATTGAAAGCAAACGGGCAACTAGTTGCGCCGCTAACACACATACATATGATTATATATATATATATATATATATATATATATATATATATATATATATATATATATATATATATTAAATTTTCAGTAATTATTTACGAAGTGAGACCATTGTGTATTTTTTAGTTTTTGTGTATTCAAATGTATCTAATTTTATTATATATTTTAATCAACTTATGATTTTAACTTATGATTTTGATATATATATAATTTCTAAAAAAATTCTACATGAATTAACGAATCCGAGTACTTGCTACTCGATAGTCGACCGAATAGGTACCGAGTAGCGAGTTCTACAACCTTGTCATTTATAATAACACTCATAAAAGGAGTTAGTTCATGAAATGCCTTATGTGTTAAGCCTTTATAGAAGACAATACATGCTATCATTCGATTGGTTCTCATGTGTTATATCGAAATTTGTCCATCATGAACAAAAAACTTTATTATAATAAACCTAATTCAAGTGACCAAACATTAACAAAGTAAAAAAATGTTAAAATAAAAAAAAAACATAAATTACTAGATTAAAAACAAGTCAAAACATCAATTATATGAAGTCAACCACATATAAATGAGTGTCAAACAAGGAACCGGAAAAATAAAGTTTTTAGTAGTTTGATGCTAGAAAAAAGGAACAATCAATAGTGTAATTCAACAAGTGTAATGCGTTAATTAAACTGAAAAATACCAAAAAGATATTTCGAATGAATTCTAAAAAACTTCTCGAAATCGTTGTTGCGTGCATCCAAAGAAGAGATTTTATATAAATTTAACATAAGAGGAAAGCCCACTCGGACAAGTAACACTCTGTTTGGCATTTTCATCAAATTTTGTTGTCTTTGTCAATTGTGCTCCAATATTCATGAAAGTTAAATGCAACACCATCTCCCTTGCCCCCCCCCCCCCACACCAAAAAAAGCATCCTAAGCATGATCTAATTTTCAAATGCCCTGAAAATCAATCAAAAGATTCCAACAATTCACAAATAAATTCTTGAAAATGTCAAAATTCATGAAGAATATTTGCATTCCCACAAGGATATCACATCCGAGTTTCTTATCATAACCACGTTGTTGTTTCTCGAGCTATTAGAATAGGAGGAAGCCATTTTGCGGATGATATGCACACACACACAGACACACACACACACACACATATATATATATATATATATATATATATATATTACATCATATCTTAATACTTTTAGCTATAATTATGCTTATTATAGAACAAAAGGTACTTAATCTATTATATGTTGTTATGTAGCGTGAAAGACTTGCTCAGAAGCAGTATGGAAGCTGGAAGCAGGAAAATGCGAGCTTAGGCAAGTCGAAGATACAAAAAGAATGTTGCTGGACAACTTTACCACTTGTCAGCATTTTAGCCATATCTCATGACTCGTAACTCTGATTAACGTGATTCAAAATGATCTGAAAACTAGACATAGTTTCGAACAACTTTCATGTTTTGAGAAAATGTTGAATCTCGATAACCACAACATGGTGAATGGAATCTTCTCATTTCTTGATGCTGACTTGGAGAATAGGGGATAAACTCAAGAACCACGACGTGCTGCCATTACCACGAAGTGGTGTCTAGATTTTAGGCAAGTACATATATCCGAACATTATGACAAATTGAGAGACTTGGTGGTGACTTTCTGGAGAAGTATTGCGACAAAAACCCTCTGGAAAACCCTTAGAAGAGGAGGAAACAATTGGAGCTCAAGAGTTGAACCGATCTAGAGGAAAACATCATCAATTCATTCGGTTTGATCATGTTTAGCTTTATTCCAGTTGAGTTTTTCTATTTGATTACTGCCATGAGTAGCTAATTTAGTAGAGTTTTGTTTAGTTAGGTGAAACTCTAATAACTATGGTAAGTTTATTAGTTTATGGATTTATGAAAGTTGGTTTGGAGATTGTGATTGATTAACTTACCTAGCATGTTAAAGTGTTTATCTTTGTAACTTTAATTCAAGTTAAGTGTAGCTTAGTGACCATTAAATTAGATGAACTTGTTTACCTAGTGATTTAGTGACCATTAAATTGCTAGAGCTAGGATTGACCACATCATAGTTAAGTGATAAAAGTAACAATTTAGCTGTGTTGGAGAACATAATTGTGACCATAATTTTGTTTAACAAATCTTACACAGCCCAATTATAATTAATAACTAATTATGTGTTTGCTTGTGAAGGACCTTATAAGGTAGTACATGAATTGGTAAAAATATTAGGACCAAATCATTAATTACATAATAATTGGTAACCAACTTAATTAATCCATAGATAATAACTAACCATAGGAAAAAGGTGGATTCAAAACTAAACGAAAGTGTTTTTATTATCTTGATTACATTCGTTTTTAGTTAAGAGTTTGTTTTAAGTTAATCTGAACTTGCAAAATCAGATAAAACCCCCCATTTTAGTTAATTGTTTTTAGATTAATTTTTAGTAGTTTAATTATTAGCTAAATATCTTCCCTATGTTTGATACCGAACTTACTTTACTATACTATATACTATGTACAATGTATATAGGTGCATTAGTAGATAAGTAGCTAGATTTATAAATTCAAAGTTAGATATGTGTAATTTGCACCGCATCAAGTTGTTGGCATCGTTTCCGGTGAACGACTTATTTGATTTTTAGTTTAATTGCTTTAAGTTATTCAATCCTTTTTGTGGGGTAAAAACCGCAAAAAGTTAATTTTTCTGCATTTATTTTTCTGTCTGATCAGCAACTACGTCATGGGTATCTTGGCCACATCGTGGTCATGTTATAGTCATTTTTTAGTTTAATTATTTTTTGTTTGTTTTACGTGTTTTTTTTAAGTTTTGTTTTAGCAGAAAATGGGGGACATCATGACCATGACAATGGAAGAGTACAAGCAGCATATGAGGAACGGAAATAGATGGGGTCTTGATCCATTAAAAATCCTAACCACGACAAAGTTTGAACTACCAGGACATATTCTTGGCATGCTAAAAGTGATACATTTTTAAGGGAAGGATCACGGGGATGCCTACGAGCACATATAAGAGGTGGTTGAGGTTTCAAATTGTTTTAATGCTCCAAACATAAGTAAATATGCGGTGATGCTTTGACTTTTACCGGTCACATTGAAGGGTGAAGCAAAATAATGATTAAAATCACTTCCCTTTGGAGCAATCACGACATGGGCTGATTTTAAGATTGAGTTCACAAACCAGTTTACCGCTCCTTCAAAAGTGGCAAAGCTTAAAAGAAACAAACACAATTTTCAACAATTAGAAGGGGAGTCGTTATATGAAGCTTGGGAGCGTTATAAGAGATTGTTATGACATTGCCCTCAACATGACTTCAATGTGCAACAAGAAATCTCTATATTTTATGATGGAGTCAATGTGTGCACTCGCCAACTTCTAGACTCCCAAGGGTCCATGACAAAGAAGGATCCGACAACAAATAAAACTTTAATTGAAGAATTCACCAAGCATTCAAGGGAGTATCACAACCTAAGGGGTGAGGATATCACAAGAAAAAAAGCGAATATAGATGGAGTTTCTGAAGTCTTAATGATGGTAATGACGAAACTTGACACCATGGAAAATAGGCTCATAAAAATGGATGGATCAATTATGGTGGTACATGATAGATATGAATCTTGTAGAGGACCTCACTCTATAAGGGATTGTGAATTGGAATACAAGAGAGCTCAAGACACGAAAAAATATCAACAACTCGAGCATAATCTTTACCAACTAGAATGAGTCCAATCCGAGAAGATAGATGCTCTTGAGTCGATGCTATTCAGATCCATGAAAGCTAGCGAAAAAAGACATGATGCAACACTTAGAGATCAACAAGCATTTATTTTGAGCATACACACACAAGTTGGTCATTTAACAAAACTTGTACAAGAAAAGCTATTAGATCTTCTTTCAAGAAAAGTTTATTCAATCCATATGGCTCAAGACATGGACGCTGATAGAGAAGAAGAAGATGAATTTGTATATATGAAGGACATTGAAGAGGAGTCTAACTAGTCACTCAAAGTAGAAAAGACAAAGAATAAGAGTATCGTGAAGTTTCCCATCCGCCACGATGTGGAGGCAATAGTGCCACGTCGTGGGCAATAAAAAAATTATGATTTTTCTGTTGTTGAGCCGTATCAACCACCTCTTTCTTTCCTATCTTGTGCCAGAGAAAATCTAGTGAAGCAAGGAAACACAATGTTCATGCAACATAAAGAACTTAAAGAGAAACTGGAAAAAGAAGAAAAGCATTTGAAACCTCTAATGTCAACGCCAATGATTTTTGAGGTGTTTGCTTTTACAAGGCCACCAGATCAAGTCACAAAGGTAGTTGAAGAAAAAGAAGAAGAATATGATGAGCCTCATTTTGACAAGAGAAACCCGGAAAGAGATAAGACAAAAGCTAAAGACATGGGAATGAGGAAAGAGCCCAAGCGAAAGCACAAAGAAGATGTCAACCCGACAATGTAAGAAAGATCAAGAAAGGAATTCAACAGACGGGTTGCCTAATAAAGAACAAGACTCAAGATGATGGAGAACGGGGATGTTACACTTCCACCTAACATAACATATAGTGGGAAGGATTCCGACTCACGACTCTTCAAAAAGAAGCGCTTCTCGAGAGGCAACTCGATGTTTTTAGAGTTTGCATTTTATTTTCTTTTTGATTTAGTTTTAGATTTAGTTTTATTTTTTGTTTTAGTTTTATATTACCGTAACCGAATGATGATGTGTTTCTCTAGTTCTTGATCTTATTTTTTAGTGTTGAACGAAAGTGAAGCAGTGAATGAGCTTAATTTGAAGAAGTCGTGCGATTTTCGAAGATCATAATTGAATAACAAGTTTTTGAATAAGTGTGGGGTTCCCATATAGTGAAGAGAAATTTTTTTTGAAGCATATTTACTGAAAAGAAGAGTGAGAATGTTCTTACACACTACAAAGATTCGATGCCCACCTATTTCAATCTTAAAAGATTCTCTGAGAAGACACCACGACGTGGGCATCATCAACACGTCGTGGAAAAAACTATAATCGCGACCGAATCTGACTACACCTCGATGTGGCATCCTTAAACCACGTCATAGAGACATTATTTTGCTTGACCTTCATGACCATTTGCTCGACAACACGACACGGTGTTGCTTTCCAACGTCGCGGTAGCGGTTCAACACATTTTTCAAGAATGGTTCTTTGATTTCATTCGATCCGATACATTTTCATTCACAAGAAGAAGGTCTAGAAGTATTGTTTCCAACATTTATTCGAGAAGTCTAAGATTTCCAAACAAGTCTCTGAGTTTGATCTCGCCACTATTACCCAAGGGGAGTCTGGTCTAATTCTTCCTTTTTAGTTTTATGTTCTTTAATTGTTTTAGTATGCAATGGGGACATTGCATCATTTAAGTGTGGGGTAGGGGGTTGAATTTGATGGGTTTTGAGCATATCTACATTCCTATGTGATCATGCAATCCTAATTGCTATGGATCTAAGTTTTACTCTATTGAACATGCAGATAGAACACCAAATTAATAAACCTAGATCTAGAATACAAGATTCGAAATTCATATAAAATTAGGGTTAGAATATTTGCTCACTTGCTATATTGTAATAACATGAACACCTTTGAAGATCCTTAACTCTTGAGAGCTTAGTGCCCGAAGTGTTGCACCTCTAATGGAGTCACAAACACCCAATGCAAAGGATGAGAAGGAGAGACACGGGAATCGGTCAGGGTTTCAATCTAGAGTGCATGAGCTAGTTTTCTTAGGGTTTAGAGGGTTTATATATGGCTAGGTTGCTTAGTCTTTAAGCTGGACTTGAATAAGGAAACCCTAGTTCCTATCTTAAGTCGAAAGCAACCCATGGACCTCCATAAGATGCCTTAGGAAAAATCTTATAAGCCCAAACTATAAATTTCGTCCACTCCTATCCAAGGAGTTCCTAGGCCCAATTTCACAACTATCAATGATTTGCAAAACAATCCTTCCGCTATTAATCAGTTCCTTTAATACCAAAATTAATATCCAATTAATTTCAGATTAATCGCTAATTAATAATATGATTTCCAAATAATATATTAATCTTATAATATATTAATAAAATCATTTGAGTGCCAATTTATGATATCACATAATAAATTCTACTCTCTCTCCACTAGTCATCATGTCAAGTTGCATGAGTGAAGGCAACCTAAAGGACCATGCTACATATCAAATCAAGTACATACCAATTATAGTTATGGGCTTAGACACCAAATCCAATAAAATTTAGGGAAAAAGCATTCTATTAAAAAAAATTAAAAAATTACTAGGATTTAAAATTAAATCTAGTAATAATTAACAAATTAAATGCTAGTATTGTGTGGGATAATCGAATGAGAGCCCAAATGTTTACCTGAGCCAATATATTTTATAGTGTATTTGTGGCTTCCCATTCTTAGTGAAAATTCGTATGATATGAAAGGTAATCTGGTAGTTTATATGACATAATAAGTTTTGCAGCGTGTACCTGAAATCTATCTAGGAGAACTTATGTAGTCATTGCATTTAGAATAATACCTCTAACCAATAAAGGTTGAAGTTAAGCTCCCTTGCTTAAGCATGTAGGAATTGAGCGAAAAAAGTGAGTTATATATATATATATATATATATATATATATATATATAGAGAGAGAGAGAGAGAGAGAGAGAGATTGTAAAAGTTGTTAGAATTTTGGAGCTATAATAGTATGAAGATCAAAAGATCAAAATTCTAAAGAATCAAAAAGTTGAAGATGCCAAAAATCAACAAAAATGTGGTGAATTCAAAGAAATCAGAAAGCAAATATCAAAGAAGAGATGAATTCAAAGAGCTCCATTGTGGTATCAAAGTTGTAATACTTTCTAGATCATATGGATGCTTAGGAAGCTTAACCAAAAATACCTTGAGGTTAAGAAAGATTTCTGAGGATGGATTCGGAGGGTTGAAAAAATGAGTGTCGTATAAACTAAGGGGTGAATGTTCATAAGGATTTTGAGTATTTAGTATTGGGAAGTGTTTACAAATTATAGACATAAATGCATGCATTTCAGTCTTGGGATAATGGCTGGGTTTAAAATGGATTATTCTATACGATATTTGTAACAACTCAAATTTTCATACATTTTTTTTAAAAATTCTCCAAAACATAGTTCATAGCATCAACCCATGCCAAAATGTGCTTTTCAAATAAAAAAATATTATGAAACAAAGTTAAGTATCCCATAATCCACATAAACTCTAATCATCAAGCTGGTGTGTACAAGCATGCTGGTGCCTTCCCGCAATCTTGTGATGTACTTGAAACACATTTAGTCAACACTATAAGCAATAAGATTAGTGAGTTCCTCAAAATACCATATACACAAATAATTAGCCTCTCATGGCTAAACCTCGATAAGGACCCTGCGGTCATTGTCTTAGTGAAGAACCTCTCATCTCATGTCTCGGAATGGACCCTCTGGTCATAGCTCAATAGATACACAGAATAACACAACAACATAAGTCTAAAAGATAGAATGCATAATAACACATAAAAAGATAAGACCCTCCGATTAATGATACAATTAAGATCCTCTGATCCGTAACATGAAGAAGACCCTCCGATCACACAAATGTTATCACACAGGTAAGTATAGTTAGAAGACTTACCTCTCGTTGGGAAGCAATCAATCTCGCAACCGAACTTCCGGTCTAGACTCCGCCTAATTATGTCACATTCATATCTAATTAATAAATAATACTAATAACCTCAAAATTCTAGACCGTGTCTCTCTACAAAATCATATGAGGGTGAAAAGACTATTTTGCCTTCCTTGGACCAAAGTCCACAAATTGACCGAAAGCTCAAAAGTTAATGAAATTCATTACCCAACGAGTGTGTTGGGTGTACAACCCTCTACGCTAGGCGTACAACCAACCATGCATGCATCGTACGCTGTGCGTAGCTAAGAGTATGCACCATGTACTCCTCATATTTCCACTCCTCACTTCACTTAGTCTTAATCCGTTAATACAAATGCTACAACTATAGATCTGAGTTGAATAAGACCTATTACTTCATAAAGTTGGGGACTTTAAGCCTTAGCTTGGCTGAACAAGTCCCAAACTCACAAACTTTAACCTTCTCGATGCAAAAGTCCACATAAGTCATTCATGGAGAGGTTTAGACGATCAAGATCCCATTTTTATGAATCTAGACAACCAAATACACTTAAAAGGACAAGAGATATGCTCTGGAGTTCACCAAACTCACAAAGCTCCAAACATGGGATATGAAACCCTAAAAATGGACGCAAAACATGAAGTAACACAACAATGAGCAAGTTTCGAACTTGATACCCTCGGAAGATGCACCAACAAGAGTAGAACTGATATCCAAGAGCTAGAAGCACAAGCTATCCTTCCTTCAAGGGTCCTTATTCACCAAAAGCTTCACAAGAACACTCAAATGAGCCACAAAGACTCACACAAGCTAGGAATACGAAAATAAGGATTGAGGGAGGTTGGATGCTGGAAATAGTGGCTGGAAATGAGACCATCATGTTACTTAAATAGGGGCACAAAAGGGCATTAGGGTTTTACTATGATCCTAGTATGCCCAACGTACCCTATGGTATGCCCAACGTACTAGGTGGCCTCTACGATCATGCAAAGTGCTTGAGTACGTTGCGCGTACACATGTGTACGCCCCACGTACTCAGTTGCCACCTTTTCTCAATAAGGACTAGACTTGACAAATACATAAAAGATTAAGGTCAGAGAACTATACCTCTTTTCGGGATGCTACAATTTTCCCCCACTAGGATCAAATTTCGCCCTCGAAGTTCATCCTCCAGAAACAGCTCTGGATACTGCGCACATATCTCAGACTTCGGCTCCCACGTCCACTCCAAGCCTCTACGATGATGCCACTGAACTTTAACTAAGTGTATTAACTTGTTCTTCAAGGTCTTTACTATCTTATCCAAGATCGCCATCAGCCTATCAATATAATTCAGGCGATCAAGAACCTGAATGTCCTCTAAAGGAACCATTGTGATCTCGTCGGCTAAACACTTCCTTAACGGGGATACATGGAAAGTGTCATGAATCTGACTCAGTTCCTCAGGCATCTCTAACTAATAAGCTACCTTACCCACTCGAGCAATCACCCTTGAAGGACCAATGAATCTAGGGCCCAACTTTCCCCGCTTCCTGAATCTGATCATCCCTTTCCAGATACCTTTAGGAGAACAACGTCACCAACCTAGAATTCTAGCTTGGAACGTCGTCGATATGCCTAACTTTTCTGAAGACTCTAGGCCGTCAGTAACCTCTATCTGAATTGATGTATATGCCCTGTTGTCTTGACTACTATCTCGGTGCACCCTAAAACTCTCTGTCCAACCTCTCCCAACAGATAAGAATCTGGCACCTCCTCCCATATAAAAGCTCAAAGGGAGGCATCCCTAT